GCTCCTTCCTTGTGGTGGTCAGTCTCCAAATACGGCCCCATCTGTGCGCCTTCCCTCTTTGTTCTCATGGGCTACTTCTTACATCAGGAGGGGACACCTCCCTACCTTTTCACCTGGGCTGGCTGTGGTACCTAATTTGACCGATAGAGTGTGGCAGAACTAACATTCTGAGAACAGGTGATAAAGCAGCTCTATGTCGTCTACCTCAGTCATTTAAAAACATTTGCTCCTGAAATATTCCATCTTGGAACCCACTGACCATGCTCGGAGAATCCCAGACCATTGATGAGGCCATGTCATCAACAGCCCCAGCTGAGCTCCTGGCAAACAACCAGGATCAACTGCCATGTGATGAGCCATCTTGGGTGTGCAGCCCAGTTGAGCTTTCCGGTGATCCCACCCCCAGCTTCTGGCTACAACTACTTGAGACCCCACATGAGAGCCACCCAGCTGAGTCCAGTCAACCCAGGGGACAGTGACAAAGAATAATAAATCACCATTTAAAGCCAAAGTTTGGGGATGATTTGTTACACAGCAATACATACCCGGACCACTCCCCATCGGAGTAGGCAGGACCCTCAGGCTGTTCTTGGAGCTTCAAATAAAATTGCCATTGTTCCTTTAATAGCCTTGACCCTAAAATGGCATCATTGGATATTTCCTGTTTAAGGAATTGTCCCTTGTCTCATAATTTTTCTAAAGACTCAAAAGTCTTTTCTTTTTTTTTAAGATTTTATTTATTTATTTGACAGAGAGATAGAGAGAGCACACAAGTAGGCAGAACAGCAGGCAGAGGGGGAGGGAGAAGCAGACTCTCTGCTGAGCAGGGAGCCCGATGCGGGGCTCGATCCCAGGACCCCGGGATCATGACCTGAGCCGAAGGCAGCCACTTAACCGACTGAGCCACCCAGGCGCCCCTCAAAAGTCTTTTCAAGATGAATTATGTCTTCCTCCAAATCTTAGTTTGGGCATCAAATGTGGGAAATGTAGTGGAAGACAAGGTCATGGGGAAAAAAAGAAAAGGCTTTAGAGACAGACACACCCAGGTACCAATTCCAGTCTGCCTTTTACCAATTGTGTGGCTTTGGGCAATCTGACCTGTCTTGAGCTCTGGATGTCTGAATACAAATCTCTACCTTGCTGGCTTATATTGAGATTCAAAGGGACCACTGTAAGGAAAGCCCCTTGCACCATGCCTACCACTATACTGGCCCTGCAGAAATGAATGTTTTATAGATGGCTGCTTCCTCTGAATCTGTCTTTCTTATTCTCAATCTGGGAGATTTCTTCCATGCTCTTAGGTTGGGAGATCAGCTGGAATGAAAGATGGACTCCCTTGGAGAGCCACCTGTCTATGCTCTTGTTGGTTTGGGCTGCCCAGTGGGGTGTAGGCATTTGGTAAGAATCAGTGGACACAGAAGACAAATTAGAGTAAAGGAAAGGCATCCAGCTAGCAATTAGAAAGTCCTGTCAGGGTAAGGACATATCACCCCATCACTATACACATTTTCTTATTGATTTCCTCTTAGTGTTGAATACTTGCTGTGTGAAAACGCTAAGGTGAATACAAAGATGCATGAGACATGGTCTCTGCCCTCAGAGAGCTGACAAGATAGCTGGAGAGACAGTGACATAACCCTTGAAAGGCTAACCAATAGTGCAAACTGTAAGCAAACAGTCATATGGAAGCATTTCTCTGCAATGGTTGAAAACAAAGGGGCTATGAGTTCCATGAGTTATTTGTTTCAGTTAGGCCACGGTGAAGTTATTGTACCAGTCACCTGGTGATGAATTTCAGAGATGTTTTAATTTTCAGAATTATTTTATAACCACACAGACCATTCAATGGTAACAACATGTTCAAATCTGATCTTGAACCTTAAAGAGAATGATGCTTGAAATACCCAAGTGATGCAGGAAACACACGTCTAGAGAAGTTGTGTCCAAGGAGCCCTTAATAGAATAGATCCCAATGGCCAAATGTACTAGGAAAAAAGGAACAGATATGGAGCATCCACGTGTAGAAATAGGACTGTGACTAATGGATAGTTGAGGGGACCCAGATGTACCAGGTTGAATAGTGTCACCCAAAAATTCACACCCTTCCCAGAACCTCCGAATATGGTTTTCTTTGGAAATAAGGCTGTTTCAGATGCAGTCAGTTAAAATGAGGTCAAACCGGAGTAGGCGGGCTCCTAACCCGGTACGACTGGTATCTTTATAGAGACAACAGGCGCAGGCACATGCAGAGTGCATACCACGTGAAGATAGACACACAGGGGGAACACCATGTGAAGACGGAGGCAGGCAATTGGAGTGATGCATTGCAGGCCAACAGTCACCAAGGATTGCGGGCAACATCAGAAACTAAGAGAAAGGCATGGAACAAATTCTCTTCTAGAGCTTTCAGAGAGAGCATGGCCCTGCCAACACCTTGATTGTAAACTTCTAGCCTCCAGAATTATGAGATAGATTTCTGCTATTTTAAGCCACCCAGTTAGTTGGTACTTTATTATGGCCACCCTAAGAACCACTACATCTGGGTGTCCTGTCTGTTCAGAACCACCTTATTTCTGCTGAAGGCTGACCTTGCAGCTTTCTGCATGTCCTGATCTCTGTCCTATGCCTCTGATTCTGCAGCTTACATGATACCCAAGCTTTCTGGCCTGCCCCCAAAATGACCTTTCTTCCCCCCTCCCCACCATGACATCACTAGGTAAGCGGGTAGGATGAATGTGGACCCACCGCTGAGTAGCAGAACGTGGTGGTGCTAGTGGTGGGTGTGCATCCATGAGGCAGTTCCTGCAAAAGTAAAGTGACTTCCCACACCTGGCTCGAGGAACACAGCTTTCGAGCGGAGTGCACCTGCTGCCAGCACCATCCATGCAGAGCCCTCCCTGCTTGGTTGGCAAAGAGCAAACCATCGAGCCCATTCCAGGCCACAGCATGACCCTGGCAGAAAGATCCTGCCATTCTCTGGGACTTACATTTGCTGCTATCCTCAACCCCAGGAGGACTTCTCCATACACAACACTTTCCATCCCCTGGAAAGCTATCAAATGTGATGGGTGCTGTGGCTTGCGTTTGAGAGAATCCAGGATCTGTCTTTCTGTCTTGTTGTAAAAGGCCCAGCCTGGAACTTTGGGAGAGATCTTTCATGGAAGTCCCCAGGTTTGACCTGATGAGCTTGGTCTTCCATGGTGACCCTGCTGGGCTAAGAGGTGCCGAGTTATGCACAAGATCCTCTCAAGCCCCAAGCACACAATCTCAGAATTAGAAGATCCTGCTGCTGCTGCTGCTGCTGCTGCTGGTTATGGCTTGCAGTGCAGAAATAGAAGGGCTGGGTTTGAATCGCTTAAATCCAGAGCTGTGCCTTCCAATACAGTAGCTAGAGCTACATGGGGCCACCTCAGCATCAACTTTCATGATTTATTTATTTTTTTAAGATTTTTTATTTATTTTTTGACAGAGAGAGACACAGCAAGAGAGGGAACACAAGCAGGGGGAGTGGGAGAGGGAGAGGGAGAAGCAGGCTTCCCGCCGAGCAGGGAGCCCAGTGCTGGGCTCGATCCCAGGACCCTAGGATCATGACCTGAGCCAAAGGCAGACGCTTAACGACTGAGCCACCCAGGCACCCCAACTTTCATGATTTAAAATGAAATAAAATTTAAAAATCAGTTCCTCAGTCACACTGACCATATTTCAAGTGCTCAAGAGCTACACGGGTCTAGAGGCTTCCATATAGAGGGAACAGATACAGAATACTCCTATCATAGCAGAAAGTTCTATTGGGCAACACTCGGCTGGAGCTCTTTGTTGTTCCAAACCTTTGAACACATACGCCCTCTTCCCCCTTCTCACTGAGTGTAATTTTCTAAGATAAATATTGAGAATATATCAACTCCATGATTTTATTCACTTAATGCCATTAGAGATAATAAGAAATATGTGTCAGTTTTTTAAAAAGATGGGAAGTAAGTATTGCCAGACCCATGCTCCTCAAAGTTTAAGGAGCACTTAACTCACCCAGGGATCTCGTTGTGCTGTGGATTCTGATTCCCCATGTCTGACATGGAGCCTAAGAGTCCACCGCTGGTCCCCAGACCACTCCTTGCATATGGTGGTTATGGCATGTGGCTTGTGACCTAGGACCCTGTTGCTACTTGAAGGGTCAGGCAAATAAATACACAAGTGAACTGCAATTGGAAAGACAGAGCTGAAGGAACTAGTCTCATCTTCCCACAGTAGAAGAATAAGACCAACCCCTGCTTTGGTCTGAGGAGGGTCACATGGGTGTGGGACAGCACAGCCGGGCTAAGGACTGCCCTCTGGAGCCACATTTGTCTGGATGCGTCTTGACTCCATCACTTCCTAGTGTGTCTCTGGGCAAACGATCACTAGGCCTCAGTTTCCCTATCTGTAAAATGGGGCCAATACTAGTACATTTTTTACAGAACAGTTGTGAAGACCCAGTGAGTCAGCAGAGTTAAGATGCTCGGAACAATGCCCAGAGCATCAGAAACGCTGACCGGGTGGTTGTTCAATGGACACAACATTCTGCCTCTAAGCAAGTGATAGGGTTCATCCTGGATGAGCTGATGTATTTCTGACCGCTCGTATGTCACTTGGATCTAAATAAGACAAGAAGTGGTAGAGTCGAGAGTTGGGCTATTAACGGACAGGCAGGGTCCAGGGAAGCCAAATAAATGGGGTTGTTGCATTTCCTGTAGACGGCAGCCATTTGGCGGGTCTCCTGGTGACCTTCACCTAAACGTTGCCCCTTTGAAATGCCTTCTCTAAAGAGACATTTTACTGTTGGCTGAGGTTGTGCCGAGTCTGCATCTGGAGTTTGTGTAGGTTTTACCAAATCTATCACTTAAATTTGAGACATTGCCCTTCGGCGTGTGGCAGCAAAATAGATTTGAGTTGGTGGAGGCAATAGGACACCAGTTTTTGCCTAGCATTGATCATTTTCTTAAACCTTTGTTCTCCCTCAAAAGCAAAGAACCCAGCCAGCAGCGAGTCAAGAGATGGGGCTTCTCTTTCGACGAGGTATTGAAGGACCAGGTGGGGCGGGACCAGTTCCGGAGATTCCTGGAGTCCGAGTTCAGCTCAGAAAACCTCAGGTAACTCTCTCAAAGGTTGCAGCCATGTGCAGAGGCTGTATGGGGAGATGTGCATATTCAGCCTCCCATTCCGCCACCCCTCTCTCAATAAAAACACGAGGGTGCAGACTCACATCCCCACTAATCTGGCTAAGGCAGAAGTGGAGAAGGACAAACTTGATGTGCAGCTCAGGCATCCCCACGTGGGCACTTCCCCAGACCAGCATTTTCTGTTCTGTAAGTCCAGATGACATTTGTTCAAGTTGTTGGAAACATGTCTCCCATGATAAGTAAATGATCAAATGGGTCTGATGACACCGCGCATTAACTGAAACCAGAGAACCATGGAGCTGCAGAGTGGAAAGGCAGCTCAGAGACTGTCTCCTTCAAAACTTCTCAGTCAGGGGTCCCGAATACTTGACAAGCTAACCAGAGAAAAAGAGGGATCCCTGAGCTCATTTTAGAATTTCAAAAAGCCAAAGGATATATATTTCAATACGTGGAGACATATCTGTAAAAACTAATTAAAACATGCTTTTCCTTTTGGGGGGATTCTGTCAACCCTGTGTTGCTCTGGTCACCTGCTGCCAATGAGAACACATGGCCGTCGCTGTTGGTCTCCAGCTAATCAAGATGAGGGGAAATGTAGTGATGTATTAATAATTACTGATCAGTAGAAGGAAAAAGCAAAATTTTCAAAACATGAGGTCCATTGAGAGGGAGGAAAGGGAGAGCATTCAGTGGGAGAGGGTCCATTGTCATGAAAAGTTGGGAAACTTGTGGTTTATTCAGGGTTCCGTTGTATTAGAATGGACACAGAGACCTAATGGTTCTGAGCCCCCTGAGTGATCTGAGCAAACCGGTGACTTCTCAGATGGAAAGCTCAGGATTTTTTTTTTTTTTTTTGACACCCGGTTCTTTTTTTGCATGCTGGGTTAATTTCCATCTTCCAGTGGTATTTTTTTCAGAAAGGGTGGTTTTATTCATTTTCTAAATGTTTTTTAACTTTAAAAAGTCAGAGCATAGACTGTGGGCAAAGGACTGTCCACTCCGGTGTTAATGTGCAAAGACCATGTAATTTATTTGACAGTAGAGACCATATCAGTCCCATACATCAATCAGGCACTATTTATCACACACCTATGCTGTATCAAGGCCCGCAAGAGTCTGCTGAGGGAGGCAAACAAGTCAAGATGCATGATCTTTGCCTACCATGATCTTGGAGGCCCTGGAGGAAAAAAAACACAAGAAACTATTAAATCGTCACATGAATATAAATGAGTATAAACTCTAAGAACTGTTTTGGAAATGTTTTTAAAAGGGAGGGATGAATGTAAGCCAGAGCAGGCAAATCACAAGCTGGTCTTTGAAAAATACACAGGATACCGATAGACAAATGAGAAGGAGGGAGCGTATTCTAAGCGAGAAGACCCTATGAGCGAAGGTACGGCAGTGGGGCTCTCCCACATCACACAGCCCAAGGGCGACGTGTAGATGCCAGTAAACAATATGTATCGATGCCTTTCCAGGCAACCAGGAGCTTACTGTACAACAGATAAGGCTGCATATCTGATGCCAGGTCAGGACACAAGAGTTCTTTCCTGAGGCGGAGCCATTGTCCTGAACACACCTCCCAGCTTTGCTTCTATTCCTTGTTAAGCATCTGTAACAGAAGGCTTGCGGTTCAGACCAGCCTCCGGGGCTGTGCGTGGACGAGGCGGATCCTGACCAGGAAGCCACGTCCTCTGTGGCCGGCAGGATGCACTCAAGCAGCCCCTCTGTGCGCAGGCTCAGCCCCCAGGACCCACACGGAGCTTGGTCCTCGCGAGCCACCCCTGGGAGTCTTTCCCATTTCTCCTTCTCATCTCTGTCCCCTCCGGGCCCCCCCAAAATAAAGTGATATAGAGGCCTCCTTTACCTGACTATTTCTCAGCCCATGCGTGGCCTTATGACGCTCTGCCACCTGCACCATTACGGTGACTTTGAAAAACCACCACTGGGCCCCGGTCATTTTGAGGGTCATTTTGAGCGGGACCATTGCTGGCTCAGCACCTCCGTGCCCAGTCTGAGTGCAGCCAGAGCCACACATCGGTTCAGACAAGTGTAACGAAAACGCATTACCTTTAAGGCCAAGAGGGCAGGGAGCAGTATGTCCCTGGCAGGGGTTCAGCACCTCATCCTGCCATTACCTCCTGTGCCTCGGCCAGCTCCTTGGTCCTGTGGCAGAGGGGCTACACTTGGGTGAAAGGGTGGGGGGAGCACCTGTGAGTGTGCCAGTGACTCATCTACACCCCCAGCAGGAATGCATAAATCCACACTTAAAGAGGGACCCGCCTCTGATCCATGACAGGAGAGAGGATAAAGAAAATAGAACAGCCAGAGATAAAAAGTACAGCCCAGGAGCTTATAAAATCCTCTCTGGAGGCCCAAGTTCCACTTTTATGATACTCAGCATAATGGGACATGTGGGGGCAAAGTTTGGTTTGAAATCACACAACTACTTAGAGGACTCTTCAGTCATCCATACCCAGGTGGTTCCTCTCCTCCCCTTTGCATTCACTCCTCCAGCCACAGAGAGTGGCTTAGCAGCCCCCATGACCCAGGGCCCAAGGACTCAGCTGAGCAGGGCAGCCATGGGTGCCCTGCCGGTGCGCCTCCACCACGTCCCGTGAATGGCGCCCCCTGGAGCTGTAAAAGCGGCATAACCCAGGGATCCTGCCCATCTGTTGCCTTGGCCACGCTAGGGATCATCTCTTCTCCCCAGGACCGATCAACAGCCCAGGCAACTGGCATCAGGGGATGGGAGAAAAAAGAGACCAACCAGAACTCAACTGGATCCATTGCAAAGGGCATCTCCATTTCATCTTCCCATACTCCCTCGCATCTCTCTAGCAAAAGGGGTACTTAGATCGGAACCTTTTTGCACAGCCCCGTTTAAGTAGCCAAGTGGTTGGACCTGTACCAGAGCTTCAGAGAAGCAGCCCAGAGGAGCCCCCAAGAGACACAGAAATCACTCTCACAACAGCAAAGCGTCACCCTGGGTCCTTTAAGGAAAGATGTCTATGATAATACGACCTAAGTTCTAGTCCTCTTTCATGGTGAGGTCATGGAGGGAGGGGCGTCAACTTCAGGGCCCAGAGCGGGCATGGCCAGTGCATGTTGCTGCAGCCGGCACAGCGTGAGAACGTGTGCTCTCTGTGGCACTCCGAGCTGTGGCACCCCGTTCAGACGCACAGGGCCCCTGAGACAGCTGTTTGCTGGGGGCCTGCGCAAGGCACGCGGGCTGTCATCCATAAGGCAAGAAGCAGGGGCGTCAAGTGCATTATCTGACTTCGTCCTGTGCGTTTTCCCAGAATGGTGACAGGAGTCCCTCATCCACATTTGTCCCCTCCCCATCGCCCCTATGCCCATCTTGGTCCCTCCCCGCACGATGGCCTCTGCTGCCCGGCAGGGCACGAGTTAAAACTCAAAACCCACAGCAAAGAGCGTTGCCCGTACATTTTTTATGAGCTGTAACGTCTCCTGAGAGAACGTGGTTGTTCTTCTAACCTGCAGATTGATTATCCCAGTTCCACACAGTGTCAGCTGAAGGGAGAAGCAATTAAAGAGAACACGGGGGAGTTGCCAGGTTTGCCTGGAGAGCTCCCGGCTCCGAGAATTGCCCCTGGTCCTGGGAGGACCTGGGAAGGTTCACAAGGCCCGGCGGGACTCCCCACTAACCAAACACATGATTAATCGGAACAGAGGTGGCTCGCGCGTCACCGTGACAATCTATGGCACTTCAGCCACTGCCCCCGGGAAGGAGCGTACCTCGGCGGCCGCCGTGGGGCTGGTGCTCGTGGCCACCGTCGGCCCCGGACGATTTCTGCCCCACTGGGGACCCGGTCAAGTTGCCTCTGTCCTTCCTGAGCCTCTGCTGACCAGCAGAGGGCACAGAAAGCCTTCCTTCAGCATCAAGTTTGCTTTTTCTCTGGGAATGAACTAAAAGCTAGATTTTTCTCAGCCATGAACATCCTAGTTTATGAAAAAAGTAGGCAACCTAAGAACTGTGGGGCTGCCCAGAACCCCTGTCAAGGGGGAGAGGGACCACGGCTACGCCGTGTTCCTGCGTCCAGCCTGCCTCGAGGAGAAAATCCCACTCCCCGTCCGCACCGCGGTCCTGGGCACAGAGGAGGCCACCGGGACTACCTCCCCTCCCCCCGGACCCCCCCCCCCCGACACGGCTGCTGCTGGGCCCTGGGGCATCAGAGGCCCCCCGCGGCCTCCCCGCCCAGGCCAGTGCCAGCTTGCGTTCCTGAGCCATCCCCACGCATCACATGCCAGCGCACGGGCTGCCTCCCCACGCTCTGAGGACTCCAGCGAAGCAGCACAGATGGTCTCCCTGATACCGGCAAGTCCTTGTGGCCTGCCAGTCACGACAGCCCTTCTGCTGCAAGCCATGGAGGCTTAGTGCAGGATGGGCGGATTTGCAGCAGACATCTCCGCCCCCCCCCCCGCCCGTCCCCCTCCCCGCTGGCGTCCTCCAGGAGGAGCCCGTACCTGCAGGGCTTTCCATAAGGCAGAAGCTGCCCCAGCCTCCCTGGGCCAGCCCCCACCCTGGCTATGTGGCAGGGAGGTGCGTGGCCCCCGGCAAGGGGAGTGTGGCCGGGGCCACCAGGGCTGGGGGGAGGGGGTTGGGGGGGGGGGGCTCGGAGCTCAGCGCTCCCGCCTCAGGCCTGTGGGCTCACAGATGGCAAACGCCCACCAGAGCCTGTTCTGAATTTCAAATTGACACAAAGGTTCTTCGAAGCTGGTGATGGTAAACACATATGGGATGTCAGGATGCTGTTGTGACAGCATTTTTGCTGTCACCTGAGAAGGATAAGGCAGGTCACCTCCCAGGCAGACAGAAGGCTGAGAGGGCACCTACGAGGGCAGGGAGGAGAGACAGCTGTCTCAGGAATGTCACCTCCTCGGCTTCTAACAGGCCTGTGGTTTCTGCCGGTACTTTTATTTTTTAAAAAGTCTTGATTTGTGACAAAGGGAACCTTTTTAATTTTTATGTAAAAGTTTGTTACATTTGATTCTGAAATCTCCCTTTACATCCACTTTAGACCTTCTCTATACCCAGCTGAGTGACGTGCATGACTGTGGCTCCCAAATCATTCTGCCAAAGGGACTCTGAGGCCTCGGGAACCCTAGAAGCCTGCAGAGCTCCGAAGCTGCTGGGAGCTTCCAGGGCCCTCCCGGAGCTTGAGAGCTCCTCCTCAGAGCAGCCTGGACCACGGGACAGAAAGTGACAGAAGGTGACCCCCCACATGACATTGATTGAGGGAGCAGGGAATTGCTCAGGAACCATCCATGTGTGTGAGAAACTGCAGGGGCTGGTAGGCTTGGGAAGGATGCTGGCCCAGAGAAGCTGCTTCCAGCCGGGGGAATCGGCCCAGAGGCAACTCCCTGGGGGAGGGCCCTTCTCCCGTCAGCCCCAGCACGTGGCTGCCAAAGACTCACCAACTCAGTCTTGGGTGAGTTGCCCACTAGCGCTCTTTCTGGTCCTTTGAAAAACCCACACCAGCTTCCTTCTTTAGAACTGGGTTTCCTAAATCCCACCTGCCCATCAAACCCTGCTGTCCTGACAAAGAAAGCCTATAGGCGCTGTCATCGCCAGGTGACCATTTTCATCTTTGTGTCCCGGCCACCTCCTTCATTCCATGGCAGACCTCGAGGGCGGGATGGAGAGACCTAAGGACCTGGAGGCATGGGGTTGGGAGGTGGAAGAGCCCCACTCCCCAGCTGAGGCTCAGAGTTTCCCCAGCCTTTGCACTTTGCTCAGAGAACCCTTGCTGTTCTCTCCCCAGTAGCCAGAGGACGTGAACACCAGACCTGCGGGAGCAAGAATGCAGGCTGGTGTTGAGGGGCAGGTGATGACAGATGGCAGGAGCAAGAGCCCCTGGCAGCTTCTGCCCAGACCCCCTAGGAGAAAGCCCGGTACTGAACCTGTGGCTGCCCCCGTGACCCCTCCACCACTCCCACCCACGGGACCTGAAAGCATTTCCGTTACACCTGGATGGGAACTTCTTCAGACCCATGTCACATATCCTGCCACCCACTTTGTACCCATTTTACAGATGAGGAAAGAGATGCCCAGAAAGGCATAATTCCAAAACAGTGGCATAGGCAAGATGAGGACAGAACTGTGTTTCCTGGTCTTCTGGTCAAGTGAGGTCGTGAAATCTCCTTCCTGGCCTCTTGCTCTTCCGGACCAACAAGGGAACCATGAGGATTTTCTTTAAAGAGAGTATTAGAATCCCAAATACCAAAGCAGGGGAAGAATTGGAGTCCAGAAGCCCCTGTACACAAACATCTCTCCTTGGAGAAATGGAGCTGTATTACCGCAGTTGGCCACTGAGTGGCGCCTTTGTGCCATGCACTTGGCTCCAAAGACAATTCTAAGAACAGCAACAGAAAAACATGCTTAACCTTTAAAAAAAGGGGGGGGACAAGTACATCTTACTTTGGGTGCAATTCGATGACAGATTGAATGCACTTTCCACCGCGTCGTGGTCCAGCTTCTCTTATCCCTGCCCTTTCATTGACTTGAGTATGTGTGACTACTATGGCTATGGGAACCACATAGCCTGGGGTCTGTCCTCATGTCTCACTGATGGGGACATGGGCCTGTCTTGTTCACAAGGCACAAAGTGTGCTACTCAGATCTGGGCCCTGCTGCAAGCCCTCCCTGGGGTGGCCTCGGAAACCATCCTCACGACCAGGGAGCTGTTGTCCAAGCTTAGCCCTATTGGCTTCAGTTCTCAGCAGAAAAGAGCTCACACCCAGCTCTTCCAACAGCCGCTGCCATGCTGATGCTGAGGAATTCATGAAAGGCACATATGGAAGTGAGCAAGAGGTTTTTGTCTCCAGTGCTCCCTGGAGAATCTTTTGGCATAGATGTTCCCCATGTATGCCTCTTCAGCTTTGGTTCCTCATGAGCCCATCTTCAAGCCAACAGCCATTTATTGAGCACCTACTATATGCTAAGCATCATGCTGGACACCGACCTTGCAAATTGGCTGCCTTTCCATCTGCAACATGAATAGCTGGGTCCTCCCAGCTCAGATATTCTCTATGATCCCAAGATTCTCTCTGCCTCTGTGATTTCCTTAATTTTGATGCTGCAAACTGATCCCAACCGGTTATGACAAAGGAATTCACATTGTCCACATCAGGGCACCTGTGGCGAGAACTGGCTCTCAACTGGGGGGTGGGGGGGATTTCACCTCCTAGGGGACATTTGGTAATATCTGGAAACATTTTTGGTTGTCACAACTTGGGGAGGGGTCGCCACTGGCACCTGGTGGGTAGAGGCCAAGGTTGCTGCTCAACATCCTACAATGCACAGGGCAACCCTCACAACAGAGAATTATTGAGCCCAAAATGGAAATAGTGCTGAGGTTGCAAAACCTTGATGTAAAGGGAAAGAAATCTGGTTGGTAACCAGAAGCACAATGATTTTTCTAATGGGCACTTCTTTCAGTTCGCCACAATGATGGAGCACCCTATGGATTTCCAGCAGTCCCTACCATCTTTGTTACCTAGGTAGGGGCAGCAGGGAAGGCTGCGGGATGCAGCAGAATGAGTTTCATGGGATTTCAGTTCTGGGACCAGATCCAGCAGAGTCCAGAGCCTGAGCCCCCTGGAACTGACTTTCTTTATGCTTCCACGTCAGGTTCTGGTTGGCTGTCCAAGATCTCAAGAAACAACCCCTCCAGGATGTGGCCAAGAGGGTAGAAGAAATCTGGCAAGAGTTTCTGGCTCCAGGGGCCCCAAGTGCAATCAACCTGGACTCTCACAGCTATGAGATAACCAGTCAAAACGTCAAAGATGGAGGGAGATACACATTCGAAGATGCCCAGGTTTGCTTATCTACTCGAGTGGTTCTTATCTACTCAAAAGGTGTTCGTTTGTCCACTCCACCACTCCACCCTTTCACATAGGTCCAAGGCATTGTGTGTAGCTAGAATTTCAGGTTTTATTATTTGTAAGTCCATCAGGGGAAACCATTCCAGGTAGGTGCATAGTGAAATTCTTCCTAGGCCCGGCTTCCTAGATCAGTTACATTGTTATAGAGAGATAGACATTTAGTTATATGTGTTATCTTTTCCAGGAGAATCTCAAAGTGTTTTTACAAAACCTGAGGTCCCGTAATAAGTCAGTAGTAGGGTCCGGAAACCATAACACCACATCGGCAAAGTGGGTATAGTGAGCAGGCAGGGCTGTGAGTCACGTCTCACCATGAAGCCCACGCTCGTAACCACCACCCTACACTGCTTCCATAGTGATCTCCAACTCTGCAGTTACTATTTAGGGAGCACCTCTATATCCCAGGCCCTGTGCTATGTGATGAGATACCACCAAGAAAGACAGAGCCCCTGCCCTCAGGGAGGTTACGGGCTAGCTGGGGAGAAAGACAAGAAAATGGGAGGTTCAAGGTTTAAGGGGGACTCAGGGACTCCTAAGCCTGGATGGCACAATTGGGCACAGATGCTGGGGAGGTTGGCAACAGAAACAGAAGCCACGAAAGCCACTCTAAACAGCAAGCTTTACCTTGAAGGCTGGGAGGTACCATTTCTAAAGATAAGCATCCAGTCAGCTGTCCACTTCCTGGCCCCAACCGTGATTCCCTCTCACCTATCCTACGCCTAGTGATGGGGCTCCAGGGTTTGCTCTTGTCTTCTCAACCCTCTTCCTGTCTCTCACCTGTGGGGTCCCCAAATAGAGAATTTGCATATATTGCTTCCCTACAGACATTATTATCCAATTTAGGAAACTCAGTGGCACTGATGCGAATAATAGCGTGGGAACAGAACCAGTGTTCCTTGTCATCCAGATTTGCCTGGTTATTTGCTCAGAACTTCAGAATGGAAACACCTCCCAAGCTCAACACGATAACTGTTTTTCCCTTCCTCTGGCCATGAGCACCACTGAATGCCGGTGTCAGGCAGATTTGGTTCTATAGAGTTCACTTTTATTGCTTTATGAAAGCTCAACATCCTCACACCCTTTGCAGCTTCAAAGCAAAATATTTAAGTCATGAGAAATCTTTTTTTGTATGTGTCTATGTATATGCTCCCAAGTACATATTGATGTATCCTGGTGAGGAAAGTGATGGAGAAGTTCCATGGGTGATGGAGAAGCTCCTTGGGTGATGGAGAAGCTCCTTGGGTGATGGAGAAACTCCTTGGGTGATGGAGGAGCTCCTTGGGTGTTGGAGGAGCTCCGTGGGTGATGGAGGAGCTCCATGGGTGATGGAGAAGTTCCTTGGGTGATGGAGAAACTCCTTGGGTGATGGAGGAGCTCCTTGGGTGATAGAGAATCTCCTTGGGTGATAGAGAGGCCCCTCAGATGAATGATCTGAAACACACAGGTCAACTCTCCATTATTCATAAAATGCAAGACCAGGGATACTGGTCAGAACCATGATGCACTCCATCTACTATTATCACTCTGAGCCTGATGTTAGGAAGGATTTATTTTAATCTTTTATTATGGAAACATGTAAACATGTGGCAAAGTGGAAAAAGCAGAACAACAAACCTTTACAGGCCCTCATCCAGCCTGAGCAATCATCAATACAGGACTGATCTCATTTCGTCTGTGTCCCCCCTTCTTTTTCAGCTACCACTGGGTTATTTTAAAGCAAATCTGAGACATTACATCATTTCATCTGAATATCTAGTATGTAGCACTGTCACACCTTAAAAATTTGCAACATTCTCTTTAGATCACCAAATGTCACACAAGTTCAAATTTATGGCGGTGGTATAAATGCCATTTTTTAATCTTTAATTTAAAATCAGAATCCAGGGGCACCTGTGTGGCTCAGTCAGTTAAGCGTCTGCCTTTGGCTCAGGTCATGATTCCAGGGTTCTGGGATCAAGTCACAAATCGGGCTCCCTGCTCAGCGGGAAGCCTGCTGCTCCCCCTGCTTGTG